TTGCCTTCTGGTGCCCCTACAATGGGCGTTGTAGATTTTGAATTCCATCCTGTTCCTCCTTGTGGCACAATGACTATACTTGGATCTTGACCATGTTCGGATTTTAAAGAAGGTAAAGTTGCAGGTGGAGGCATTCGCCTAACAATATTTTTTGTTCCAATTGTTGCTCCATGTTTATTATCTAAAATATAAATAAATTAAAAGATAAAAAAAAGAAAAAAGAAACCGTTTCCTTTATTCCCACCCGCCACTTGGGCGGTGGTACTTCTGCCTGTAATACCACTATTTACCAGCGCCCGTGATTTGTTTGTGCCAGCGCCAGTGGCGCCTCTATTTGACATAATATTTGTTGTATTACTTGTTTTTTGATGTTGTTGAAAGTGATAATCTCCAGCTTAAGCTTGAATAAATGAAATTAATTTAAAAATAACACAAAAAACCTTTAAATTGACTAGATTAAAATCCAAAAATAAATAGGACAGAGAACGAAGCCGAAGAATTTTGATTGCTTTTCCGGTACCTTTTTTGAAGACAAAGAAGAAAATTCCCAATCCAAAATTAAATTCTTAAAATAAAAAATTATGAAAAGTAAAATTTAAAGGAAAACTTACAAATTTGATGAAGAGCAGAACAAGCTGTTTTTAGATTAAATTGATAAATAAAATACTATACAAAGTGAACTTCAAGAAAAATCTAAAAGAATTGTATTAAGGATTAAAAATGAACAGAAATTACGAAATAATTTCTTGAAGAAATTAAATAGTAAAATTTAAAAAAAATTAGTCAGACAAGATTTGTTGCAAAGGCTAGTTTTTGGTAAGGATTGACCTAACACTGCTATTCGGACGAAGGAATCAAATAGACCATCAAAGCAGCCTTGTGAGCTTACACTTCAGCGACGAAAGGTACGATTGAGTCAAAAATAAGTTTACGGAAAATTAGATTTTTAAAAATTAAGAAAAAATATTGATAATTTAGTAAATATCTATTACAGAAAAATACACAATAAATGCTTCAATTTCGCTAAGAAAATAAAAAATACGCGAAACTTCACAGCTAAGATTTAATTGTCTAGACTCGAGTGATTCTATCGAATGCGCAGTAACGAGAGAGATTTTCTCTATCCTCTCCTAACGAGAGATATCGACTTTCTAGACATGCACAAAACCTCACAATGTAAATTGAGATACTGACAAAATGGTACATAATGGTCAAATTTTAGATTTAATGTCTGTCCATTATAAGAAAGATTTACTAAATGGCATTATAAATTTGTCATTAGATGGCATTTTGTCAAGATGACAAATTTAACCTGGCCCAAAGTAGGTCAGAAATATCTATAATTCTCTCACTCTATAAATATTTTCTCTTTTTTTTTCTTTTCCTTTAACACAGAGATTTTGCGGAAAAGTTCAATATCTCTAGTTTTAAAATATCTAAATGAAAAAATGTCCAATATAAAAATGTCCTAATTAAATAATGCCCGTAACAATTAAAAATGTCCATAAATTGTTCAAAAAATTTTCCATTTAAGCGAAGCTGTAAAGAAATTGTCTTTTTCTCTCAAATACATGATTTTTTTGTTTTTGGAATTGTTTAATTACTGTATAGGCATCTTTGTTTTTTTCTTCAGATTTTTCAGATTTACATTTACGTAAAAGTTTTACGTTAATGTATAGTTTATGTGAAGGATGAGAGAATATCAAAAATAGCTTTTGCTTCTTACGTTAAAATATTAATAAAATACATAATTAAGCCTCTTTTACTGCATATTGGAATTTTAATGTCTTCAAAAGCTGTCAGTATTTAATTGTTTCCAAACTCCTTTATTCTTATTTATCATTGTTATCTCGCTATTTTTTTCTAAATTCAATTTATGCTTTCATTTGGGAAATATGTATAATTTTAATATTTTTTAATTATCAAGAAAACTTTTAATTTTCACAATTAAAATATACAAAATTCTTATTATTTTTCAACTAATAGTAAATAAATACTAGTATATCAACTGTTGTTTACCAGTTTCTTTTTCTAGCTTATATTTGTGTATATATTCATGTCATTTCTTCATCTGGCCTTTTCCTCTAAAATTTTCTTTACTCTCGGCTTTTCTGTTTGCATTTGTATAAATATTTATATTTATTTATTACCAAACAATTTTTAAGTAATTATTAAATGTGAAGGGAATATTTAATAAAAATAGTGTTAGCATATCGTTATCGAAAAGGTGGGGAATGTCCGATTTTGACATATATGAATGTTTTCATTACTTTTTTGGGTGAAAACTTTCGGTGCTTTTATAACGGTAGATAAAAAAATGTCCTGAGTAGGGTTGTCGGTTTCAAACCGAACCGAAGATTTTCGGTTCTTCGGTTTCGGTTCCGAAGAATTTGGTGAAACTGACAACCCTACTGGTCCTGAGAAATGTCACAAAGGCATTGGAAGTTCTTTTATTATCTAGAATTTTTTCTTTATAGCACCACAGGCAAAAATATTTCAAAAATATAATTTCACATTGGCACTAGAAATTGATTTTTTCAATACTTCATTTTTTTGGATAGCCAAGAAGCTTTCTTTTACTTCCTACATTTAGGCCTTTATTAATTAAAATAATTTTAAGCATTTTATGAAATTAAAAAATATTAATTTTTAAAAATAAATCGAAAAAATGTGTTTAAATAAATTACACAAGCATTTTCTTTCTCTCAAGGATTCACCATTTATTTATGTAATAGACTAAATGTCATTAGCATTCACCTTCCCAGCTTGCAAAGATCAAACAAAAATTAAATAAAAACTTCAATACTATTTATTTTATTTTTAGCCCTAATTTTACTTTTTTTAAAAAAATATCCTCTTAATTAATAACTTTTCTCTTAAATAAAATTTTTTTCTAAATTGTTAAGTATTTTTTTTCCAACATTTTAATCAATTTTCTTATTTACAAAAGATTTTTATGCTCTAAATTATTGAAATACTCTCAAAATTAGATAAACCTTCATTTTATTAGATGCGGATAATTAGTGGCCGTTTTTTAAATTAAATTTTTAGGGGAGTTTTTTCACAAATATTCTTTTTTGTCGAAATTTGAATTTCGCCCTTTTTGAAAAAGTTGGACCTTTCTGATTAAAAATTCGGCATTGTACCCTCCTGATTTTGAAAAGCTTTCGAATGATATATGTTTCTTAAATTTTGTTGCCCATTGTGTGGAGGTCCTCAATTTAAGATTAACCCTATTTTTTAATTGGATTTTTCAATGTTTAATATCAACCAAGATCAAAAATAATTTATATCCTTTAAAAGTTATTATATTTATTATTCATATCAACTCCAATGGATTGGTAAAGATTTTCTATTATTTTAGCTTTATACATATGTATCCTGTTAATATTACAACCTTTTTAAAATAAAAATATTAATAATATTTTTTTCAGAAATTTATTAAAATTCAATCAGACAAGTGCTATTAAATGTGGAACCTAAATTTACTAAAAAAAATCTGTTAATTTTAAATTATCTTCCTAAAAAATATTTTCAATATTTTAAATTAAAAATATCCAATTTAAATTAATAATCATTAATTGCTTGTCTTGGAATTTTTAAATTTATCATTTTTTAGCATTTAATGCCCTTTTAATAACCAAAAAAAGAATTTTAAAAAATTCCTTTTTTAAATTCAACAATTTATTATTTTTTAAATTATTCATCACATGCAAGTTCATTTTTTAAAATTTTTATTACTCTTTTGAAAAGAATTCTTAAACACATCTAAAAATAATAAAATCACATATTTCTTGTTGAATTTTTATATTTTAATAAGAAATATCATCCCTTTTTGTTAATAAAAAATTAATTAACAAAAGGTATTCTTAATTTAAATAAAAAAAACTACTCAATAATTAATTTTGTTTAAAAGTAGGTAAAAAATTTTGTTAAGAATTTCGTATGAGACAAGGATAAGAGAAATGAATAGGGTTGTTCTCCAACGAGGGGGGGGGGGAGGCATGGGGAAAATTTTTCGAGGAGGCAGCGCCACAGGGGGGGGGGGGGGCGGGGAAAATTTTTTATTTTTTCACGAGGGGGGGGGGGGTGATTTCAAAAAATCTCCCAAATTCCCCGACTTTCGGGGACGGGGATGGGGAACAACCCTAGAAATGAATCGAAAATCTTTTTGAATTTTTATAATTTAATACATAACTGTTTTTGTCCTAATATTTTTTTAATTATAAAATTATTTCCTTTTCTTTTTCTTCACAATTTTACATTAATTAAAATATTTCTATTTAAATAAATTTTTAAATAAAAAATATATTTTTATTTTCGCTTTTATTTAAAATAAATGTTCACAGTGTGAATGTTTGTATGCGCAGAATAAATAGACTTTCAATGAGTGAGACAGCTGCTGCCTGTGGCCATTAATATTCTTTTGAATGTTTTATTTATATTTTCCGCTCATTGCATTTCCGCTTCTTTTTTATTCAATATATTTTTATTCCAAAAATTTTTTTCTATCCAGAGAGGGGAGGAGGACTAACTAAACACACTTTTACCTTTCTATAATTTTGACTGCTTCATTGGAGTGCGCGGCCTTTAATTACAAATTATTTTTCTGTACATTTAAGGAAATTAGATTTGTAATTTTTAAAAATCTGTGTGGGAGGGAATGTGGCAATATATAAAAATAATTAAATAAAAAATATTTAAATAAAAAAATAATAAATATCACTTTTTTTTAATAAAATTAATCCCTTTTTTTCTCCAGTTATTTTAAATATCAATAAACTAGCATTTAATATAAATATTTATTAACAACTTATTAATTATCAACCAAAATTTTGCTAAAAATTATTTTTTAAATGCTCCTTTTCAAAAATATTTTTTATAATTTTTTTCTAATTTTGAGCTTTCTATTTTTAATAAATTCACAAGAAAAAGAAACACCAATTAAAGGTTAGATAAAATAAATTTACAAGAATAACTCTTTTTTAACTTAATTTAACATGACAGTAACAGAAAATTGTTAGTTATTATATTTAGTATAAGCTTAATTATTTTTGAAAGATTAAGCTAGTTCAAAAATTATGGTTGTAGAGATTGAACTTCGAAATATCGGCCTAGAATCTTAATCAATCCTAAAATTCGGTCTCTAGTCATGATAACATTGATAATAATTTTCTACTTAATATTTCCTTGAATAACTACCTAGGGTAATTGTTCCGGGCAGTAATTATTGTTTCGACCTATCGCTCGAGGGTTAATAAATATTAATAAATACAATTGAGTTAATTATTTGAGGGAGGGCAATTAATACAGTTATTCTTCTCTACCTCAAAATTTTTTACTTAAAATATTTCTTTCAGATTGTGGTCATCAAATTAACAATTTTGGAGGCAGAATTTCCCTCGATGGGCAAGAATCATTAATCGGCCACGAAATAGAGTGTACTTGGTTAATTAATATTAACCAAAAATCCTCTCAAAATTTTTCTTTTTCAACTTCCACCGATTTTCCACATTTTGACTATATTTCTCTTCGAGTTGATAAATTCCATTTAAAAGGAGAAAATTTAAAATTAGAAATTAGAGAAGGAAGTAATTCTGAAGGAAATATTTTAATTGAATTTGAAGGGGAACAAACAACTAAACAATTAATACAAAAACAGTCTGAACAAGGATTTGAAATTTCTTCATTAAATATTGATAATAAAGAAAATAAAGAGAATGGATTTTATGTTAAATTAACAGGAAGAATTGAAAATATGTTAGTTGTTAAAATTAATTTTTGGGAAGAAAAAAAATTCCTTGCCGAAGGATTTTTGTAAAAATACTATTTAGTTTAGCTTTTAGCCTGGAAATTTCGGAAATAAAATAAAATTTGACTTCCACATTAAACTCTTTTTCGGAATTAACTTTATTAAAACTTCCGATATAATGTAAAGCATATAGCTATTTATTTCCTAAGGCTATGCAGTAGGCGGCGTGGTGTAATGGCTAACACATCAGTCCGGTCTACTGAAGATGCTGGTTCGCTCCCAGCCGCCGATTAACCTTTTGCACTAGCTAAAGGAGAGAAATAGCTATAGCCCAGCTGCTTTACTATAATTTTTATTTTTTATTTTCTCTCTTTTTTCAGCTCAGGATTGAGTATACCCTATTCTTATTTTTATCATTGGCCAGCCCCGCCATGTGCTTCTGCTGATGAATTTTATTGTGATAATCATAAATGTATTTCTATTATTTTACGTTGTGATGGTTATGATCATTGTGGTGATTCTAGTGATGAAATGTGTAAAGGAGGAGAAATACATATTGAATAGTAATTATTTGAATTTAATTTTGTAAGGTGCTATAGCTGGTTATGAAAGTATTTTAATTATTAGTCTGAAAATCTGAAAAGTATGGAGCCAGTTAAGGACTTTGACATTACAAATCGGTCCGATCTATGGTATTCCCTTGGCGTAATCTCCAGTTATCTCCATCCCTTTAGCCTTTAAAAAATAATTTTTAAATCATTTCAGTGATCCTTTATGGAAAAGTGCAGTTTTAACCGTTATTTTTGCTTTATTAGCTTTATTGTTACTTACACTTTTAATGGTTTTACTTGTTTCACGCACTGCTCGTCGCCATTTAATTCATTCATTACCTTCACGCTCAACTCAATGTATTAATCGAAATCAACGGAGGAGAGGGAGAAGAGAAGCTTCTGCTGTAACTGCAAGTATTGGAAATAATCAGCGGGTGGCTAATTGTTGTCAGGGTTAGAAAAAAAGATTTTTAAAATTGAAAAAATATTAAATTAATTAAATTTAAATAAGATTGTTATTCTTTTAAAACAATGTCTGATAGTATAACGATAGACCGTTATATGTAGTTTTGGGGTTGCGAAAACAATGGGAATCGACTTCATTAAAAAATTTTTACAAAAAATTATATGTAACATTCTTTAATTTATTTAATAAAAAATATTAAATTTAGGTACAGGAGGGAGATTAATGCCAGGTATTACTCATCACCAGAATTGTTCACATTTTAACAATACAATTATTAATAACTGTCAACATCCAACAATTCAAACACTTGGAGATAGAAGATTTTATTTATTCCCTTCAGATAGAGCACCTATTAGTTTAATTGAAGCTCCCCCAACTTATCAGGATGCTCTTAAACATCCAAAAGTAATGAAAAAAACATTTAAATCTTCAAAATTATTTCCTAAGTTCACAGCCCCTCCAGCACGTAATTCTCGACATCTTGTCCATCCAACTACTGACAGACCAGAAATTTCTGATTTTCAAAATTTAAATTTTCGTTTATCTCCCAATGAACTACAAATGGAATTTGAAGAAATTGAAAGGGAAAATGAAAGGATTAGATGGTTACAAATGAATGAAAATGGGTTTGAAGAAGAAGAAGCAGAGGTAATTGAAAGAAATGAGGAAAGGGAAGAACAAGAAGAAGATAACAATAAAGAAGAAGAATTACCCCAAACAATTAATTTAGTGGATGAATTTGAGGAAATTAATTTAAATGATGATAATGAAGATGGAAAAAGTAAAAAAGAAGAAAAGTGTGAAGAAGAATGTTGTTATATTTCTGGGCCTAGGTTGGTTGCGAGGGGATTTATGTGGTATTTTACCTAATAATAAGTATCCATGTAGAGTTGTTTGAGAATTTTTGTTTTTTCAAAAATAAATAACAAAATTAAAAATTTTCATAAAATCTTTAATATTTTCGAAATAATTTTTTGGAATAAATAAAGTAATATTGAAAATTTTTAATTTATCATTTAAATTCTTATTAAGCTTTAAAATTTTTAGTACATCCAAAAATGATGAAAGAAATGAAAATTCTAAAAAAGAAGAGAATAATTCTAATATTTCAACAAATTTAAGCAAAATATTAAAAAAAGAAATTATTAATTCAAAAGAAAAATGTGAAGAAAATAAAAGAAGTATTACAAATATAATAAGGCCATCAAGTGCCCGTTCAAGTAAAATTTTGAATGGAGAAAATAATTATAGAATGCAAAACAGTTTTTGAATTTTCAATTTTTTGTTTTTAAATTAAATGCTCAAAAATTTGTATATTGAATATCTACAGTTATTTAAATTGTTAACAAATAAATGGAGAATTTAGCTTTTAATTGGACTTTTCGATCAGAACATTAATTAATAAATATACCTAAGTTAAATTCATTCAAAAACTTAATTCTAATCTCGTTTGGCATGTTTCCGTGTCAAGAAATTAAAATAAATGAAATATTATGTCCTTGGATAATGTAAGGATGAGCATTTAAAACGTTTAGGCGGGGGCTCCTATATGTGGTGAGCGAAAGCTCCTCACTATAACTACGAGTAGGTTGTATGTTCGAATCCTGCTTGGTGGCTAAACTTTTCCTAAACTTTCTATAAAAGGATCCCGTCAGATATAAATATATATATTTCGTTAGATATACCAAATCCGGATTTGGTTAGATAATATTTCAAACAAGATAAGAACTAAGCTTTCTAATTATATATGGAATGTGTAGTTAACGTTTTAACAGAGATTAAAAGCTCGAAATTTATTTGAACACCCTAAATACTTTAATTTATTTAACAAATAATTCTCCAAATATTTTTATTTTTGAATAAAGTTTTTTAAATATTTATTTTAAGATTAATTAAAAAATAAGAATCCAACTTTATGTATATTCATTTTTTCAATAAATCAAAGTATAAAGAAAATGGTTCTGGCGGAAACCTTTAAAAATTAAATAAATATATCCAATTACAAACCTTTTTTTATTTTCTGATCAGCTTTTTTTTCCTTTACTTTTTAATTTTCTTAAATAAAAACATTTTTTATTTAATTTTGTTAAAGAAAGAGGAATCGTTTATTTATTTAATGTTTAACCTCAACCTCAACTTCCCTTTTTTCCAGCTTCCAACTTAATACTGATTAATCAAGGTATTTTTTGATTTTTAAAACTTTTCTTGATCCAAACCAAGTATGGGCGCAAGGGACAATTTCTAAAAACACAACGCAAAGCCAAAATCTAACTCAATGGGCCCACCCCTAATCCAAACAAAATCTTCAATGAATTTTTGCTTTTTTCGATAATTGAGATTCATCTCTTTTTGGGATATTCAATCTTCTCATTACTTTAAAAAAATCAAAACTCACAAATTCCAATCCAAAAATATTCTATTTATTGCCTATATACAATTTTCCAAGTATCAAAACTTAAATTAATAAAAAAATTTTTTAGAAAATTTATTATAAATAAAATGTATTCCTTATTTTAAACCCCAAACAAATATTTTATTAATTAATTATATGTGCCCTCTATAATAAGCCAAATTAATATTTGAAATCCAAAACACTTTCCCTTTTTTTTTAATTTAAATAATATTTTATATTAAATTTATTAAAAAAATATTTTTAAATTCTTTTTTCTTGATTATTTACATTTTTCTTGTACTAAACAACAACAAAAATATCTTCTCACATTTCTTTCAAAAAATAAATTCATCACATTTCTCGTTTTTTTTCTCCAATTATTTTTTGGGGGGAAATATACATAGTATAAAGGGTGTTTTCTCTTTATTTAAAAAATACCTTCTATATAAAATAAATAATTTCCTAAAAACACGCAAATAAATAATTAAAAATATTTATTTCTGTAATTTTTTAAAAAACACCTTTAAATAAATATTGTTGATTGGGATTTAAATTTAAATAAATTCAAATGTACTAAATTTAAAATATTTATAAATTTAAGAATGTTTACTAAGATTTCTTAAACATTTTAGCAATTACCATTAGAGCTCGAACCGAGACTAGATCTTGAGCAATACTCTCGGTGCCTTAATCAGAATAACTAAAGGCCAGACCTGCTCACGGATACGGATAATATCCGGATACCCGCGGATATCCGCGGATACGGATGGATATGGATAGTGTTTTTTAAAAAATTGGACGGATACGGATGGATACGGATATTGACCTCACGGATATATCCGGATACGGATAGCAAAATCCGTGTCCATGAGCAGGTCTGCTAAAGGCATCATTTTAAAGGAATAAAGGAGAATTTAAAAATTAAACTGGAACAAACTAAAGAACCTTAGATATAGTAATTATGTATTTAGACAATTCTCTCCCTCTCTCTACATTTTTCAAAATCTAGAATTATTAAAAAAATTAATTATATTTTTTAATAGAAAAATTTTTAAATTGTTGCGAGTACAACAAAAATTTAATTTTTGTTTTTAAAAAATATTATAATAAATATTTTTTTATATACGTCAATATTTTTAAATTAAAAATCTTTAAAAATTATTTCTTTATTAAATTTAATTTTTAATTAAATAATATTTTTATATATATTTTTTATTTATTTCCTTCTTTAACATAGCAACCTCCCCACCCCCCCCCATTTAAACTACCTCAAATTTAAAATAAAACTTAACAATTTTTAAGTGAGAATATTTATTTATCATTAAAAAATTAAGATTAATTTTTTTAAAGTTCCTTCTTTCATTTTATTTTTATAAAATAATTACTTTAACATTAAAGTAAAGCTTAAATCAAAAAAATGTTTGTTTATTCCATAAAATTATTTAAAAACTCTAAAATAAAAATTTAGTTAAATAATTTGTTCTAAAAAATTAATTTGTTTTAGTTTTTTATTATTACTTTAAATTGTTTCTATGTTAATATTCCTCACTATTTTAATAAAAAAAGATTTGTTTCAATTTGGAAGTAAACCAAAAAGCCTGGGGTTTTTTTGTTTTCGGTTCATTTTCTGGATATCCAATTGAATCTTCTGAAATATTAAAGAAATATCTTTAGCACCACAAATGTTGCATATTCCTAATTAAATTTATCAAGCTTCTAAAAATATTAAAAAATATTTCTGAGGGTATTTAAATGTACTATCTAAATGTACTAATATTAAATAATTATCAATAATTCTACCACCAAATATTCTCTTATTATCAAACCAAAAATCCTAAATATATTCTCTTTATTTTTCCCTCATTTTCTCATTCATTAATAATTAATTTAGAGAATAAGTTACCGTTTTTTAGGATTTTTATTTTTTAGAAAAATTAGCTAAATAGTTAATAATAATAGAAAAAAAGGTTTTTTATTGTCTTTCTATGTCCTAGTATTTTTTTATTCCAGAAATATTCCAAAATTAAATAATAAAACTTTTTTTCTAAATTCTTTCCCACAGTCTGTATTTAATATTTTTTATATTATTCTTTATTTTTGACTTTCCTAGTATGTATTTTCCCCTCTTTCAATACAAATTTTTTTTCACAAACCGATAAACGGATTCAGAGAAAAAATCTCAAAAAAGCTGATTTTTAAGTTCAAAGGGACGCCATTTTCTGATCTTATCCTGATTTACCAAGCCTAGTCTATTGGAGGGCTTGTAAGTGGTTTTATGAAAATCTTGACTAGCCCACCTTGGAATAACCGGTCCAGCTGGATAGAAAGGCAACGGAAATCGAGTTTTTAAAGTATTTAATCTATTTTATATCAAGGTTTTGAATTAAACTGGTATTTCTCCTATATAGTTGTACGTAGTTGTTTAAATGAGGCAAGGTTTCATGTTTTGAAAATAGCTGGGTTTTGGATATTTTAATTCTATTAACCCTATATAATTTTAAATTATCAGAATTTCTATTGTAAAACAAATAAATTAATTTCAATGCTTCAATTCCCATTATGCCCATTTCACACCGACAAAAAATCTTTTTTTCTTACATTTTAAGAAAAGATTCTCTCTTAACTATTATTTTAAATAGAAACGGAAAGAAAAAAGAAAAAAAGTTTTTTCCCATCAGAAAAACTTAGTAAATTTTTAAAACTTTTTTTTGGAATAATTTATTTGAATAAATAAAAATGCCAAACAATTATTTTCTAATTTAATTAAATATTTAATTTAGAAAAAAAGTTTTTTTTTGTTTCTGGAATATTTTTAGATTTTATTTAATTATAGTACAGAAAATAAAAAGCGAAAGAAGGGTTTTTTAATTTTTTTAAGACAGAAAACCTACAGTAATTAAATTTAAAATATTTTTCTTTAAATTTAATTTTCTAATTTTAAAATAAAAATAAATAAATTTATTTATTAAATTAATTTTAAAATATTAAAAATTAATTATTTCAGACCTACCCCACTCCCTTTTGTTTGTTTATAAAATTAAAAAATTTTATTTAGAAAATTCTAAATTTATTTCTCAATTTGTTTAATTAAAAATAAATAAAATAATTATTTAATAAAAAAATATACATAGAATTAGGTAACTATTTTTATTTAATAAATAAGGTTGGGGAGGGTATGAATTATTAACTTAAAATGTCGGGAGATTTTCTGTCTAAATTTCTGCATATTAAAAGGGTGGTTTATTTTCAAGTTTTTTAACACTTACTAAATAAATTAAATATCTTAAAAAGATAATCAACAATTTTTATAGTTACTACTTCCCTAAAAATTAATTTTTTTAAATTTTTTAAAATTCTTCTTTCGTTATACTTACATAAATTGCAGCCCGACCCTGTACCACGACATATCCACTCCCGAGCCTTCGGAGTGCAACCCTACTTAAATATTTTCTAAAATAATTTTTTCTTGTTAATTTAATCAAAATTAATTTTAATTAATTATTTTCTTTAATCAACCTTTTTATTCTTATTTTTTTCTAAAAATGTCATTCAAAAATAAAAGAATGAATAACCAAAATTATATTTATTTTTTTATGTTATTTTTGGATATATAAAAATAAAAACCTTTCATCTTTTAATTTTCTGAAGCGTGAGGAGAAAGCAAAAAATAAATTCTTTTATTTTAATTATTTACAAAATTTTGTATTTATTTATTCTTTATTTTCTGACATATTTGTGTGTTTTCTTTATATTTATTTTTGTTATTTTTGAATGTTTTTATGTCAAAGCTAAAAACAATAAGTGTCAGTTTCTAATATTTTTTAAAATTAAATTTGACATAAATATTCGTGTTTTATATTTAAAATAAATATTTATTC